TTATTATAATAACGTAAGAAATGCATCAACAACAAAAAATGATAAATCTAGATGAAGCTAGTAAGTAGCGAACAGCTTGACAGCTTCAAAGCTTGATCAAGCATGATCTTCGTCCTCCAGTTACACTTGGATGTGTAAAAATCATGAAAAAGAAAGTGATAGTTTATCTATTTGATTTCAATCCAAAACCTTTCTCATTCATAATTTCATGTTGAGAAGGAAGAGCGCTCATCTCATATCTCTTGCTATAGAAGTATGAAGCGTATGCGTGTATGTGTGTAGGCAGTAGAAGAAGATGAGGAGAAAAAAAAAGGAGACGATAGGAGATGTAAGCTTTTTATTGCTTGTAACTTAACAATCCATTTATGGCCATGCAATTGAATGGCTTTTATTCAAATTCTCTTTTTTTTTGCTTCCTTCATCTCCCATCTCCTTCATCCACACAAGATACATTGCATGAAAGGCATTCATCGTTGATGTCTTCATCAGCTTTTTCCTATGATTTATCATGTATATTCAGCTTGTATCCGATGATCATAATGAAAAATGAAAAGTTGTCGTTAGGGGGGTGTAGGGTGGGAAAAGCTTCTTCATATCCGTTGATGATGAACTGATGTTATATGTGTTTCTTTTGAAAATTACACGTTCAGATTCGGAGAAAAATGGTGCGGCGGCTTTCTCTGCTTCCTCTCTCACACATCTCAGTAATCCTCTCTCTCTCTCCTCATCACACTCTCTATCTCTTCAAGAATTCCCTGATAGTGAAAGATGTAAAGATTAAGAAATCTATCAAGACGTCGGTGGGAGGTTAAATGCTTGAAAACGTCCGTGATCAGTCAATCAACTGCATGGATGAAGCTTTTACCAAAAACAGTTTATGCCCTCAGGGCGATTAGATAAAGACTTGTTTCTTTCAGTTTTTCCCATCCTTTACTTTAATTTCGTTTTTGATATAATGATCATGCCGTAGATTGATTGATCAGCTGATATTCATCCTCTAATTATATGATCATGAACGGCATAGTTAAGCCTTCCAAATCGAATATTCAGAAGATCTCTCCAGTGAAGCGAAGAAGAGAAGAACGTGTGAGACAGTGTATTAAGCGATTCCAAAAATCTGATGACCCATGAGGAAAACTGACTGCATTTCTATAGAAAAAGGAGTCAAAATACAGGCTGTGATAAGCATCTCCGCCTTGTTTCCTCGCAAATTTGTTGTTTTTCTTTTATTTTTTGACAACTTTTTAAGTTTTTTTGCCTTCTTCTGCTTGAATACGTGTGTCTCATGTGTGAGTTATACAGAGAGAGAGAGAGAGATAGAGAGAGAGAGAGAGATTTGATAAGCCTACCTCTCTTAATCCTCTTTCCCTCCTTAAATTGTCGTTTTCTCTCTCTCTTTATTACCTCGCTTTCTCTCTCCCTTTCTATAAATCCTTAAACCATCCATACCATATAGGTTAGTGAGAAGCTCAATTAGGAACATGTCTGGATTAGAGTAATTAATGTTAACAACTATGTTGTTTTTCATCTTCTAATTCGTCTCAAAATTGATTTTGTTAAAGCTTTTTTTAAGCCGTCATTTCACCTTGTTTGGCAAGCTTTTCCCCTTCGTCAAGGTCAGCTGATAATAGTCTAATCTCGCTCTCAGCAACAATCTCGTCTCATCTGGTTTTCGTTTTTCATTTTCGTTTTTTCTCCTTTTTTTTTATGTTTTATCATTTTGTTAGATATTTTGTTTTTATATGCTACAATTGGAAGTGATTGAGATGAAATTCGTAATTTCATTATCACTTTCGTTTGAGCTTCTTCTTCTTCTTCCGCAGCTTCAACTGCTGATGCTGTCATCGCGTTCACTTTTGGCGGTTTTTCGTTTCGACTTTCACTCAGAAAATTCGAATTACCCAAATTATTTTTCTCGCCCCAAACCATTTCGCACACCTGCTTTTTGGTCAGAAGAGCGTTCTATTCAGAAAGCTTGTTTTGTCACATTTTCTACTTTTCGTGGCACGGTCAAGTTTTTGAAAACAAAAGCAAAATGTCCGCATGCCTTGTGCATCACCTCTTCGACGACCTCTCGTTATGTCTCTCTTTCGCCCAATCAGCGCTTTTTTTAGTTTGAAGCCTGTGAACGCATGCCCTTCTTTCACAACCCTACATCAACTTCATCACCTCTCTCTCGCACACTCTCTCTATAGTTTCTTCAAAAACATGAAATAGCAATGTTACAAGCAAATTACTAAAGGTCACAGAAAGAGAAGTTCCAAGACCTTACATTTCGACACGTCGATTTTCACGTACAACAACCGCTCCAATCAACACACATTTGCAACGACCACTTCAGATGAGTTGAACGACGAACGATTTCATAGGACGCCATCCACCGTCCACATCAATGGCCTCCTCTTCACTATTTTTGTCTTTTTTTTTGCTTCCAGTCATCCTACTATTCGCTTCCTAATTAGGCTTACACCTATCTTTTTTTTATTGATCTGTACTGTTAAGCCTTAAGCTTGCAAAGGCACAATTTTATAGTTGAGAAAGGGGGGGGGGGGGGTAAAGAGAAAAGCTGAAACAGGAACCGATGATAGATCCGAATCATTCCTCCGTTTGTCATCACGTCACCTCTTTCAGGAAAAGCTTTCACGCAATAAGTCTCTGTTATTACTTGCCTTATCGTCACATTGACCTCATTTGAACTGTCCTTTTTAAGTTTTCGGTGTTATCTTCTTCTTTTATCAAATTTTCTTCTTTATTCAAATTAACCTGTGCCTCTATGTGTGTGTATGTGTGTGTGGGAGAGCAGATGATGCCCCTGATGCTGATGATGAATCTCATTTTTTTCTTTTTTTTTCTTTGAATTTATCAAAACGATCATTGATCATTCTTTTGTGATCAAAATTTAATTTAAGTATTCTGCTCTTTCAAAACATATGCTTGACTCATAATAGTTTTTGAAAAGTCGTTCATGTCACGTTCATTTTCATATTTCAATGAGACAGGGGCAATGGATGCCTTTCGTGGAATCTATGCTCTACAAAGGTTCTTCATCGTTGTTTCCTTGCTTCTTTCTCTCTCTGCTAATGATTTGAGTGTTGCACATCATCTCTGTCCAACCGTTTGCAACCAACATGTACCGGATGTTTGGTGCTCTCTCTACAGATAGATTACCTATTCGAAAATATTTCGGTCTTTTAACTTCCGATCAATCTATCGCTCTCTCTCTCTTTGATGTTAGTATTGCTACATGATGATCACAAAGGTTCAGTCTCTAATAGTGAACAGATAAAGAGAGACTTTTCTATCTATTTACTGCTCAATCATTGGAGGACTTGTTCTTCAATTGATAAAACATGTTTGATCATTATCTTCAAAGAGTTCCACACATATCCTCATTTAAACATAACTTTCAAACAAACTATTTTTCATTTCATTTCTCATGTATATAAGGTCATTTGAAATATATTAATTTCATATAATATAACTGTATAATCTATATAATCAGTATACGACGACAATCTAATTACTCGTTTTTCCTGTTATTTCTTTTCTATTTGGTCAAAAGATTCACATTTGAGACCTGACTATTCTGGACGTTGTCCTCTTCTTCATCTTCATTCATATATACAGATAAGAGCGAATTTACCTTATATGTACATACCATAGATAGTATACTATATATAATATAATATAATTACATAAGAATCCATGGTAAATAATAGATTTTCCCTTTTTTTTTCTCTTGCGAATTGATCTGGGGATTGTGAATCAGTGAGTCCATTAGCCTTGTATACTTCGTGAAACATACACAAACTCATTTTCATACCTCCCCCCCCCCCGCCTCACTGCCCACAACAATAAACAGTATTTAAGACGATTCTCATCAAATACAATGATGAAATGCATTTTTTTCAATTTGCTTATATGATCAGCATCAACTTCCTACCTCAACCCCCATACCATACGGATGAAGGCAGTATTGTGTATCAAAACTTTGCCAAATATGCTTTCTTCCCATTTACCTTCTATTCTTCCGATTATTCCTTCACACACTCTCTCTCTCTCTCTTTCATTCTTTTCAGCATTCTTCTTCTCTCTCACTCTCTTTTTCTCTCTCTCTCTCTGTTTTACACGCATTATCTGTACCTCCACAGGTTCTATTTACTAAGAAGTCATGACGACAAACATCGCCCACACCAAATTAAATGAAGATTCTGAATATCTTATAAATTGAACTCACAGTTTCGTTTACGCAATTCAAGTTCTACGTCAAAATCCCACGTGCTGGCGTCTTATGTAAATCAAATCGTTTACGTGAAACAACGGTCGGACGGCACGAACAATATTTTTCATTTTCATCAATCGTCGAATGACATGAACGGTTGCTCTCTCTCTTCCTCTCTCATTTCGTCTCTCTCTTTCTTTCTTTCTCATTTCTTTCTCTCTCTATATCTCTTTGACTCTCTTACTCTTTTCAATTTCTCTCTCTTTCTTTTTATTTGTTTTCTACTTTTTCAAACATAAAATATGTCTTCTAAAATAAGATTTTTGAATTTGTCTAAGTGGAGCTTTTTATCGGATGATCGTCAACCTCATTGAGTTTAAATTCCGTTCGAATGGCAGTCTCTTCCGTTCTACTTTTGTCTGAAACGATATTCCAGTTCATTTCTGTCTCATTATCAAACCACAACTACTACTCATCTCTCTCTCTGTCTCTTTCATTCTCTGTTTCTCCTTTTACTATTCATTCTTAGCTTCATCTATTATGACATTATAGTTAACTATTATATACCATAATTAACCATAACTTTGCTGAAATTGCCACCCAAAGGCGTCATACAACTACCACAATCAACTAATTTCTTAACATATTTTCTTGTTCGTTCATCTTCTTTTTAATAATATATTTATTTATTATTTTTTATATTATTATTATTACAGTATCCTTGATTCCTAGTTGTATTTGTCTGAAAGAAAAAAAACTCAAAAAACGATACGAAATCATGTGGTCTGCGTGGTTTGGCGGATACGCTCAACCCTCAGACTTTGCAACAGCTGAATCACCTTCGGTCAACTTCCGAGCCATCGTTGTAAGCATTTATATTCATTATTTATGTTTTTTTCCATATATATATATATTTTTTTGCCGTTCGTCTCTGCCTATTTGTTCTAATCAAAAACATTAGAATGAATACTAAGCATTAATAATTGATTGATCGCTTTGCTTACTTAACTGAAAATGGTTTATTTAAGGTTTCATCCATATTTATCATACCCTATATATCATTTTTAATAATTTTACCGGGTGTACGACAAAAACGAATAATCACATTATTAGTTTTTACCATTACAACAGCAGTTGGAGCATCATTAGCAGGTATATCATATAGTAATGCTTAGATGATCAATTCATCATCTCTATTGCAGCTTCACTATATTGGCCTGGATGGGCTGGTGGTTCGGCACAGATTGTTGCACAATTTAGGTAATTTAACAATAATAGCATTTAATGGGATTATATGGTGATAATTATCTTTGTAGGAGTCATGCGAACGAAAGAATACTTGCCCGCATTGGAGTACATGTCGGCTTACAAAGCATTAATGTTACATTGAAACGTAATTAAATTGATTTCTTTTTTTTATTCAAAAAAATGTTTTTTTTCAGACGAACAATTGGTTTTTACAGATGATTTCAGTTCATCTATAGACTGGAGTCATCTATCATATAACGAAAAATTCGATATAAGCGGAGTCTCAAGCATGTCAGAAGCTTTGCATTCAGCTTATGAACATGGCTTACCGTATCCAATGCTGAGCGTATTGGAATACTTTTCATTAAATCAGGATGCATTTGATTGGGGAAGGCATTACCGTACAGCTGGCCATTATACTCATGCAGCTATTGTGTATGTCACCAACTTACCTTTCAATACAAGTTTCCTTGTTAAGGTTTGCCTTGAGCTGTTGGTGTCTCTCAGTAGCTTTTCTCCTCTTCTTACCACACCATTTCGGAAAAGTACGCTATTCATTCATATATATATGGAAGTTAAATTTGCGATTTAAGAGTTTCCTTGTGACCGGCTTGTCGTCCCTATTCGCTTGTTTACTGTATTTGATTATGTCTCCGTGTCAGTTAAGAATCGGATTTGTCGGAGTTGATGGACAACGAATACATCTGGACATGAGTTTCCAATGGGCATTCTATCTCATATTTGCTATTGGTTAGTCTATCACATTGAACAAACTTTCGGAAAAAAAAACTTTTAGGGATTCTCGCTATGTCATTTGGCTTGTTATTAATTGTTTTACAAAACTTCCGAGTATATACGTTATCGACATTCCTCGAAGCTCACTTAGACGATACCGTTGGCCCCAAGAAACGAAATAATCGCGGATTCGAAAATATCGACACAGCCAACAATATTGACGTAAATTTAAAGATAAGAAGGGTGAAAATAAAATAAACATAATTATAGGTAATGAAGCGATGTAAGACGGTCAGTTCATCTGTTTCATCTTCAAGTGAGAAATTCCCTGACGAAAAACAAAGTGGCGGATCGAGTGGTTTTCAATCTCGAACTAGTTACTCTTCGCACAGTTTACGGTAATTATTCATATAATCAATACTTTTCAAGAAAATAATAAAAAATATTTTCAGAAGTCATTCCGGTTCATTTGAATCGGTACATGATGCAGCTGAATTAGAACGTTCAGTCTCACAACTGACAATACCGAACAGCCCGGAGGCAGTTCAACGACATATAACGTTATCGATAAGTAGCCTTCGATAAATCAACAACGGACGAAGACTGACGATTGATATTCTCAGTCAAGTTTAGCATATAATGCTTCATTTAGACGAAATTTTTCTGAAAATATTCGTGAACATTTATTTTTTCCTGGCCTTGGTCGGCCTTCTAGAGCTATTTCTCATTCGGTCATATATATCGAATTAGAGCAATGTTTCCAAAATATCTTAGTAACGACAATAACTTGTATTTGGATCTCTTCTATTAGCTATATTCTCTCTCTGTCTCTCTCTCTCTCTATCATATATCTTCTTGACTTCACTATGTTCTGATTATTTGAATGATTTGACAGTTTCTTTATTCAAAACAAGACCATGAGCTTCTTCTTGTAACGCCGAGCATGGCGCTTGATCTCATCAATGAGCTTTTACCACATTTCTATTGATAACCACTGAAATAGTCTTTGTGTTTCAGAAACACAATGCTTTCTATTTCCTTATCAAAATTCTCAAAAGCTCATAGAAGATGAAGCTTCAACGGTCAATCATTAGATTTTCGATCATTTGTCATATTCGGGTTTTCCTCAATCTGCTCGTCCATGTTTCTCGGGAAAAATATATAGCCTTGTCTTTAAATTTCTAATCAATTTTCTATTAAATAGATGGTACTTGTAGATACTTAGATTGTAGTTGCTTAGGATTTTCACACAACCAACCTTCACTCTCTCATAACTGCCTACCCTGTAGAAGCCTTCCCTGTTGCACTGTAATATTCTTATTCTAGCTTACAGACACACCACACACCCTCACACATAGAATACACATACATATACACACAGATACACACACACACACACATCCTCACTTCTGATCCATAACGATTCTTAGTCAGTCAATAAGTTACAAATGGCTTTCGGTAGCAGATTCAACGTCTTCCCGCCGTCTTACACGTAATAATTTTTTGTTTTTTTTGTCATCAATTCATCATTCTCAATCATTTCATTGTATACAACTTGTATCTTAATAATTTCGTTTTATTTCAGTATGAGCTTAGGTATCTTCTTGACTTGTCTTTCTTTCAAATCTCTTGAAATACTTTATTTTGCTGTGAATCACATGTAAATGCCACCCTTTCTCTAGAATTGTACCATTCTCTCTCTCTCTCTCATCTCCATTGGCTGCACCCATCATACAAATCCTTGACAGTTTTTTTCCTTCTTTCCATATTTAGATGTTGTCATTTGTATATCTTATATGTTTCTTTTTGCTTTTTTTTTGTCTCAAAACGGGTATGTATGCAATGAATTCTTATCTTCTGATATTTGTGTTTTACAATACTGCAAACACGACAACACTTCCTCCTAATTTGTGGAGAAGCCATTTGTTTGGATGACATATGCTTGCTCGCGCGCCAATACACTACGAAACGGGGTGGATAGCGTCATGTCCAATTCACGTGGGACGAGTCGTATTCAACTCACGTGAGGTGTTTTGCATTTCTCTTTGTTGCCAGCATTGTGAATGGTTGTTTCATTGAAATGCCTATAAAAGGGTTTCATTTGTGGAAGACTTAGATAACACCAAGTGTACACCAAGTGTGGACAATACAAGGTGGTTTTGACTCATTCGGAAGAAAGCCATACAGTCGGTGCACTCTTGATCAATGTCTGTATCTTGCACGATGTTTACATGAACTGTTCAATCTCTGGGGCTTCACATCAAATTTGCATAAATGAATGATTGTCTATTAAATCTTTTTATATATGTTTATATTTTTAATACAAAAATCCGTAATGAGTTCAATTATGGTTTGAAGAGCTTTGCTAGAGCTCGAGATCTATCTGAGTGAAGGCTTTCATACGTAGTACACAATTTCTTCGTCTACCATATCTTCATGCATATGAAGAACTTCGCATTTATCCAATTTTCCTAAAATACATGTATTGTAACTATGCAAAATATATGTAAAAACACAAAAACTTACGATATCCAAATGGAGTTTTGATTGCTCCAAAGATAATATCTTTTGATTTCTTAACTTGATTTTGAAAACAACCAGCAATGAATACGAGAATGAAATAAATCTGAAAAACATATTACATGCAACTGTTTTTTATATTTTTCCTTCTTTTTTTTTCTTTTCTTCTCCGCTGCTAAAATACAAAAAGAGAAGATAAATTGAATTGTTATATATAACTATGTGGGATTAAACGATAAATTATGCAAATGATCGAAAGAATAGAACGAATGAACACGAAGATGGAACGAACGAACGAACCGTCGTTGGCGCGTTAACAAGATGGGCGAGATCCAAAATATCATTGAACGTGGCAGCGAATGTCATTTCTCTCATGGCAAGCTGAAAGAGAATGGCATTTTCTTTCATTTTTTTTCTCCCTAATTTGGTCAAAGAATTTACATCGAAAATGCTACGATGAAGCAATAGAAGAGAAATCATGAAATTGGTAAACATCCACGATAACCATGAGAAAATCATTAGCGATGCGCTTTTCTGAAATGGAAGAAATCAGTTTGTTAGCGTTCATCATCATCATCATCATCATCTCTCTCAACAGCCTCTCTCAGATGGGTGTTGATGATGATTGCGGTATATAGTAAGATGTGTGAGAATATGAGAATATAAAAAAAATAACTGAAACATACAATTCTATAGGCATTGAAGAGTGATAATGAGATGAGTATACCCATTGCTGATAATACACACTGAATGACTGCAAAGAGATGAAGCTTATGTATATGATGAAGATGATACAATTCTAACCTTCCCATTCAACATATTGAATGTTCTCCTTCTGATTTGCATAACGAAACGATGTTAAAGCAAATATAATTACACGTCCGCCATAAAAAACTGACCAAAAAAGGGAAAAAAGGGCTGATGAATGAAAGAGTTTCTTTCTTCCCTTATTTGATGTCTTTTTTGCAAATGACGTCATCATTTCTATTTGAGATTCATTAATATTATTCTGAAAATAATAATTATAGAAAGATATAATATTCTTTTTTATAATAAAATAGAAAGACGAGGACGAAACATTCATGATGATGCCTGATGATGATGATGATGATGATGATGATGATGATGTGATGAATATAAGAAGACGGAGGAGAGGAGGTGGTTAGCAGGATAAAGATAGAGGGGCATGGCAAGAATGTTTATTCAACAATCAAAAAGAATTATTTTAATATATTAATAACCTCTCTTCACTCATCGTATTGACTTTCGCTTCCATATTGAAGAACCGATACAAGAACACTTCGTTTGGACCTGATCACTAAGGAGAACAACGCCATCAAATATGAGGTTCAATAGCTCTAATACGACTATTGAACCTATTTGATATGCTGCTTTCAACAACCAACATATAAAGTAATAAAGGTTCAATTCTCTAAAGAATGTTCCTTTTATGATTCTGGTGTCCAAAACACTTTTTTTCATTTTCCAGACATTTTCCATTCGCACACGTACTTCACTCTCACACATAAGCGCATATCCATACCCATCTTGTATCTCACTAACTCTATAAACTCTCTCTCTCTCTCTCTCTCTCTCTCTCTCTCTCTCTCTCTCTCTCTCTCTCTCTCTTCTCTCTCT